ACAGATCCACAGCCATTGAGCTGATTCCAACTCCTACCACCCCTGTGGGACAGAGTTGAACTGCTCTGCACTGTTTACAAGGATATCAATGTCCATGGAAGCGTTTGGAACCCCTGACCTTACAACTGGAAGGTCACACAGCCAAACACTTGAGCCCCTGCACGACCAAAGCTCCTGTCTGTGCCATGGCTAAAACATCCAACCCCACCTCCTGCTGTTCAGATCAATCCGGACTTATATCCCTCTAAAGACAAGGGTGAATTTGAACAAAACAACTGGGAATTTTTGAAGACTATCTCAGCTCAGTAATAAAGGACAAATGTCCGTGATTCAGAGGGAAAATCTCTCTCCAAATTATTTTTTAATGCAGCAAAAGCAAAGAAAATCTTAGCAGACATCAGCCTAGTACTCTCAGAATGATGTGAGAAGCGAAGGACCTGGCTTCTCTGAGCTAGAAACAGTTTGCCATACAGAGCTTCCAGACTGAGAGAAAGGGGGAAATATAAATGCCACTTGCCATTCACGAAAAACAACTAATAGCAGAATTATATATCAAGACACAAATGGCTGACTCAAAACAGACATTTGAATATGTGATGTAGTGAAAAAAACTTAATAAGGAAAAGAGGAGGGGGCAAACATGGTAACAGAAAAAAAACAAAAATATACTTGCTGGGGACAGAATGGGGAGTCAGCTCAAGAATAACAAGTGTTTCCAAGGAAGAAAGCAGACTGTCCAAACAGATAATCAAGTGAATTATAAATAAATACATAGCAAAATTTAAAGATTTACGCCCCAAAATTTTCCCACTGGAAAAAAATTAATGTAGCTATATTTGAGTAATTGAAGTTTGGCTTAACCAAGCTAAAAGGAATTATGCACATGAAGATACATAGTTGACAGACAACAAACTAGATATACCTAAGACTGCTGCATTTCATGGTAGGCAGGAGGGCTGACTTCAAAGTCCAGAGAGGAGATGGACTGAAGACTATGCACAGCACGTTGTCATCAGCTGAAAAGACTGACTATTCATGTGTCTGAATGAGTTCCTGAAATAATTACAGGTGTCAGTCTTCCCAAATTAATTCATATATGTACTTAAAATTCCAGCATGGTTTTTCTTTCCTTTGATAAACTTTAGAAAGTTTATTTGGAAGAATATTCAAGTGAGAAAACACATGAGCACTAATTTTGCAATGCATTATGCACAGATCGCTGGGACCTGGGACAGTACATCCAAAAATAGACTGGGAAACATAAATATTTAAGACCAATTTATGATAAGGAAAACATTACAAATGAATGAGGAAGGGAAAGATTATTCAACTCGTAGTATTGGTTATATGATGGGGGGAATTACTTTACATCTTCACAAAAAAATAAACAAAGGTGTTACTGTTTAAAAGTGTATGATCTCTGGAAACTGGGAAAAATACTTTTTTTTTCTGAATCATTTTATTGGGAGCTCATACAACTCTTATCACAATCCATCCATCAAGCACATTTGTACATTTATTGCCCTCACCATTTTCAAAAGATTTGCTTTCTACTTGAGCCCTTGGTATCAGCTCCTCATTTTTTTTACCATCCCTCCCCGCCCCCC